CTGATCTGCTCAGCCTACACGTATCCACGAGCGCCGATTCGCGACCATTGACGAACTTGACACCTTCGATATCGGATAGGCGGGAATTTTCCTTCCCCCACGCACCTAAACGGATAGGAGTTTTCGATATCACATCAGAAAATCCCCTTGCCGATTAGACGCGTGCGGAAAAATCCCATCACACTGCAATGATAAGACGTCGAGCTCCTGGGACTCGGAGTACTTCGACCTTTGGGTGAAAGAATGTATTAGGCAAAGATACCTGGAATTCCCCTACCTAACTGAGAATCGATTGTGCCTCAGGGAGTTTCACTGTGCCACAACCAGCGATCCGAGGTGCCCCGAGTTTTCCACTTCGGACAACACGCAATACTTCATATCCCCCGGCTTCGTCGTTATCTCTACCAATTTCCCTCCCTTCCTTCTCCTCCTCCCGTATCACCAACTCACGGTGGTTCCGTGGAATTCCATCGCCCCGTACTGGCCCCCCACGCCTTGCGGAAATTATCGGCGACGCGGCAACCGACGAGCCCCTGAAACTAGAGGGCCTAACCCAAATGCGCGATGACAGACGCTACGTGTCCGCACCCAAAGGTCCGACTCATCGGGAACACAACTATCCCGGGCGGGCCTCTCCCCGAACCGCCGCCCCCAAAACAGACGGATCAGACGACCTTGAATGCACTGCGCATGCCATCTGCCTTATGCTGCATGACATCGAACGCCAACAGACCGGAAGTAACTCGCCTCCTTAGCTCTATTGCATCTATGCCCCTGAAACTTTGCCACAGGAGATCTAAGTTCCGACCTGGGACTCCACCCCCACTTTCCCAAAAATCCTTAGCACACCCCTTCTCGCACTTCCAGGCCCACATCCCACTCCAAATAGGAAGTCGCGCCCGGTGTGAGGTTGGTATCGGAGCCCGACACGTGGTGAGGTTTCGGGATTCATAGCTGGGCGATCTGGTTAATAGAGGACGACCTTGACCACGAAACGCGCATCGACGCGATCCCGTTGTCACCGGAAGCCGGTCTGCGGCTCGAAGGGAGGTCAACATGAATGCTAATCAGCAGAACCCCCAACAAAACCCAAATCCCCAGCAGAATCACAATCAACCCATACCACGAGCACGGGCTCCCATGACTTCACCCGATCTCTATTTATTCAACCTTGCTCATCACCTCGCAGGAGCTTGGCTAGCCACGCTCTGAGTTCAGCAGTATGATGACAACGAGGCACAGGTGAATATCCCCGCACGTTTGGGAGGAGACACCCATCACTGGTTTAGTACCTATGTATGGGTCGATCTCCCGACATTCGAGCGAGATTTCTTGAATCGATTTGATTACATCCACCCCGAACAGGCTCTCTTTATGATTAAAGATCGAGTTAAAAAACCCCTCGAATCCATCACCGAGTATCGAAACCGATTCTATAGTAGGATGTTTGTGAAAACAGAACGAGGCGAGCAGGTAGGCAGAGATTTATTCATCGATGGACTTCGTAGCCGAACGATGAGGGGGAAACTGCGAAAATAGTTCCCCCCCATCAATCATACGCTGCAACAAATCATGGCAGCTGCAGAGGAAATGGAACGAAAGTTCGCTGCGAGTTTCCTAGAAGGGGAAGACTATCCTAGGGAAGGAGACTCATTTGAACTAGCGAGAGCTAAAGCTGAGTTGGCCGCACTGCAGAACAAATTTGAAAACATGGGGTTTGTGTCGGGCCATATCACCTATCTGGAATAGATTAGTCCCAAATGACTGGTCCCGAGTGTGATTACGAGCATGCCCGTGCCCGTAATGACAACACCCCCGCCACCGATCGAAACCCCCGCACGACCGAATGAGTGTTCCGCCCTATTGGAACTAACGAAGGCATTGGTTACTCTGATTCAGGAAAGCAAGAAAGAACAGCGGGAACACAATGCTCGAATAGAGGCGATGACGAGGTCGATGCGACCAATAGCGGTGCGTGCCGCCCCGATTCAACATGGTTAACCCCGACACCCCCTCCTGCAGGGATCCCTGGCAATCTGAACGTCTGTTACACATGTCACCAACTAGGACATATAGCCTGAGATTGCCCTCATCGACTCCCGCAACAATGGGTCGGAGCCGCGCCGGTAGCCGCGACCCCGATCGCCAACGGACCTGGACGAGTAGGGGCATTGATGGAAGAAATGGAAGGAGGCGGAAGCACATTAGCCATGATGGAGGAAGCCGATGAACTAATCCCGTTGGATCAGTATGTAACGCTCGACTATCCAAGGCTTGGGATGATTGGAACGATTAGACCTGCGCCATAACAAAGAGAAGTGGCGAAATGGCGACCGTCTCTAGGAGAAATGGAGTCGGGAGGACCCACCTTCGTCACCAGGGAAATCGATGTTTTGAACATCGTTCCAGCCTTGGATCATCGGATTCCTCTTCCGATTGGACATCTAATTTCGATATCAGAACAAGCCAATGAACGGATGCTACAACATTGCAAGGCGAATCGGAAACGATTCGTCCTCCCCCGAACACACCTCCGACCTCCAAAGCTGCACACCCACCCCCACTCACCACCGCTCACCCCC